TCTGCCCTGTTCTGCAGGCATTTGAGAGTAATTAAAATACATACTCTCTAAATCATCATATTAAATAACTGTAAAGCTAGGAGTTTCTTACTACTGCTATAACTGAAATGTGGTCAGCCAAACAGAATCACTAGCAGACTGTCCAGGAACACCAGTGCTCGCTGCATTCACCCAGCAGAACAGCAGCTCCAGCAGACAGGGTTGCACTGAGACGTGCATTCAGTGTGCATGGAGAAGCTGTGCTCCAGTGTCCTTGTTCAGTGCCCCATCTTAAAGCATGTTCTTCTTTAAAAGGGGCTGCCATCATTATGAGAATGTCCGAATTACATTAGTGTTACTAAATAAGATTTTCCTTCAGATTGTTGAACACATTTGTAACGTAAGTATTTATGCGCTTATATTTAATATGAAATACACTTAAGATATTTACTGTGTTATTCATTAATGTATTTATACCTATTGTTATTATGAACAGTAATAGTAACCAAACCCACACAGAGAAAAAAGGGGGAAAAGTTTTAAAGCTTTTGCTTTTCCATTCTTTGAGGCAAGATCAGTCAGGGCAGGCAAGCCAGCTGTGGTGCTGGAGCTTTCCCCTGTGGAGAGTGTGAAGTTCTTGAACTGAGATGAGTTAGTCCTGAGAGTGAACACAAGAAATTAACAATGAAGCATTCATGAAGGATGGAGATAATTCAGTGAAGGGTAGAAAGGGTGACCTACAGACATGTCAGCTTCACCTCTGTGCTGGGGAGGATCCTCCTGGAAACTGTGCTAAGACACGGAGCAAGAAGGAGGGGATATGAGACAGCCTGCGTGGCTTCACCAAGGGTAGATTCTGCCTGACCAACCCACAGGCCTTCTTGGTGCATAACTGCATCAGTAAACAAGGAAAGAGCCACTGATACCATCTGTCAGGACTTCAGTGAGGCCTTTGGTGTGGTGCCCCATAACATCCTTCTCTCTGAATTGGAAAGATAAGGATTTAATGAGCAGGCTGTTCAGTGGATGAGGAACTGGGTGTGAGATCACACCCAAAGAGAGGTGCCCAATGGCTCAGTGACCAGATGGAGGTCAGTGATGAGAGGCGTCCCTCAGGGTCAGTACTGCTCTGTAATATCTTCATCAGTGACGTCAGTAATGGGATAAGTGCACCCTCAGCAGTTTGCAGATGACACCAAGCTGTGTGGTGTAATGGACGCAGCCTGGGAATGGGGAATGGGATGCCATCAGAGGGACCTGGACAGGCTGAGCAGTGGGCCCAGGTGAACCTCTTCAGGTTCAAAAAGCTGAGTGCAAGGTCTGCCCCTGGGTTGCAGCAGCCCCCACTATCAGTACAAGTTGGGGATGTAAGGATGGAGCACAGCCCTGCCAAAAAGGACCTGGGGTACTGATGGATGGCAGCTGGACATGAGCCAGCACTGTGCCCTCACAGCCCAGAGAACCAAACACATCCTGGGCAGCATCCAAAGCAGCATGGCCAGCAGGGAGAGGGAGGGGATCTGCTCCTCTGCTCTGTGCTGTGAGACCTCACCTGGAGCACTGCGACCAGATGGGGAGTGCTCAGTACAGGAGAGACATGGAGCTGCTGGAGAGTGTGCAGAGCAGAGCTGCAAAAATGAGCCCAGGCATGGAACACCTCCCTGTGAGGACAGGCTGAGAGCTGGGCTGTGCAGCCTGGAGAAGGGGAGGCTCTGGGAGACCTGAGAGTGGCCTTTCCATAACTGAAGGGGCTGTAAGAAGGAAGGGGACAGACTTTTCAGCAGGAACCATTGTGTTAGGGCAAGGGGAAATGGTTGCTAACCATCTCTCCCCAAAGAGGGGAGATTTAGGCTGGATATTAGAAGTTTTTTACAGTAAGGGTGGTGAGGTACTGACACAGGCTGCACAGAGAGGTGGTGGTGCCCCTTCTGTCTGCAGACACTCAAGGTCAGGCTAGGCAGGGCTCTGAGCACATGATGGAGCTGTGTCTACAGCTGCAGGGAGTTGGACTAGGTGACCTTTAAGAGTCCCTTCCAACTCCAACAGTTGCGATGGTTTTGTGCTGAAAGATTCAAGAAGTGATGTTCAGACCTCCAGGTCTTCAGGCTTACAAAATACAGCATCCTGTAAAGTTCTTAATTTCAGTTTAGAAGGATAAGTATAGCAGGTGCAGAAATGATTGCAGTTAATATTGTAGCCAAAATTCTGACTCCAGCAGCAAAGCATCCCTCACAGGCAAGAATTCTATCTCAGTATCTGGTAGACTGGAGTTTCACACCGGGAGCATCTGTCTAAAGCAGGTTCCTGTAGACGAGTGGTGTATGATGTTGTTCCCTGTTTGCCTTTTGTCATTTTTCAGCCGACATTCCTTCCCTGTCTCACCTTTGCCGCCTTGAGATCCGCTCCATCTTGGGGAGTGAACGTCTGCGATCTGACCGGTTTATCCGGGCTTTGCCCTTGCCAGTCTGCCTGCAGGACGACCTGCTGTACCTCAACCTGCTGCGTGCCAGCACTGCGCCAGAAGCAGAGGAGAACCTGAGGCACGGTGAGGAGGGACCTCCCTCTGCTGCTGCCTCCAGCTCCGACCATACAGAGAAGGGGGATGCCGGTAATTCCCCTGCTAGGTGATGGCACTGCCAGCGACTGAACTCGGTGGCCGCAGACATTGTAAAGGCAATAAGCAGACAACAGGGACCTGCTGTAAGTCGCTTTGTAGTCATAAGTCTTTTCACGTTGTAGTTTTATACTTTGTTGAGAAGTTTGTTGAAAGTTCAAGGATGTGCTCATCAAAAAGTCTGTTGTAGCCTTTGAAGTCTGCAAATGTTTTCTGGTTTTGAAAGGAATTTATAACTCTTACGGAGTACAATTACCTTGTTCAATGAACAGAGGCTGTACATAGAAGCTGAAGTCTATTTGTTCAGGCACTGCTAATAGACACTGCACTCCGAGTATGGCACATAGCAAACGAAATATCTGGAAGTCGAGGACCACAGTGTAGTATTGTTAAGAATTTCTTTTGGTGAGGAGTGATCTAATTAAACCGGATAGCAAACTAATGAGAAGGAAGGTTTCCTTCCTTCTGTCTGCATTCAGCACTTGAAGTGCTTGCTGTTCTTTTGCCATCATTTTCAGTCATCTTTCAGAGCATCCTTCTATTCCACATCCTTTGGAACTGCTCCTGCCTGTGTTAACAAGCTGCTGCTCTTGTCACTATTTTTCTAATTAGTGAAAAGCAGATCACAGCCTATAAAGATGAACAAGGTTTCTGCCTTACTCAGTGGCTAATACACCAGTGTCTTTATAAATGTTTGTAACTTCGGTTCCGAGCAGTAATTTCTTAAGAATACTCCCCACACCTCAAACACGTGTACAGTGAGCACTGAACTCTGTGTGAGCTGCATCTAAAACGTTGAGAAACGTCTGGAGTTTTCTGCTCAAATTTACTGTACGACATGGGTCAAAGTTTGTGTTCTTTAGTAACAAAATTGATTACGGAATAAAGGTAATCCATATCTCTGAATGGGATTCCTTGCATAAAATCTGATTAGCTTGTGATATTTTTAAAAATATACTTCTGTATCTACGGCTACATCAAGCTGTATGTTTTCATTAGCAGTTACAACGCATTTTTGCACTCATTATCAGTGAATTTTCTTTCTGTTAGCAGCCCCATATAAGGAAAAAAAATGACATTGAAGACTTCTTACCATTTTCATGCTGGTTTCCTTTTATGCTCCATCTGCACCTAATTGGGAAAGGGGCAGCTCTGCCACATCAACAGCCCTTCCCTGGTTGGGTGAAAATGGCTGTGGGGAGGTCAGGAGAGCCCCTGCTCCTCTATGGAGGAAATTCCCACTTGGAACGTGGGGAAAAGGGCTCTCCCTTTGGAGGAAGTTCCCCCCTTTTAAGAAAATTCCTATGTGAGTTGCTGGGAACTTGCTGTCATTTTTCAGAGAGCTCCTATTGGGGATTGTCAGGAAATTCCTTCCTCACATGTGAGGAAATTTCCACTACAACTGCCAGAAAAAAATTCCCTCATTTTAAAGGAAATTTCCCCAAGAAATATTAGAATTTCCTCCCTTGCTGTGGTACTAATTACCACTTGGGTTACCAGGTAATTACCACCCCACCTTTGACAGAAATTTCCATGTGGAAAGCCAAGACCTCCCCCCTCCCATGACACCAGATGAAATTCCCACTTTGATTAATGTTTGTTTTCCCCACACTTGGAGGAAGGTGCCCTGTGGGATAGCAGGAACTTCCTTCTGCTTTGGAGAAAACTGCTATTGTGAGTGCAAAGAAGGGGGATAGTTCCTCCTTGGAATACAAGGAAACCCCTCCAATTGCACTCCCTTGCCCTCCCACCCCTTGCAGCCCCCATCTGTGTGCATCCCCACTCAATGGGTTCCCAGCAGTGCACAAATGCACCCTGGTGTGGGCAGCAGCTCCTGGCCTCACTGCATGCTCCCTGTCCCATTATCAAGGTACATTCCTTTCACCCCTTGCCCTAGGTGCCCTCTACACCCAGCAGCTTGTAAATAACTCATTGCCCATGTAGTAAGCTACCTGTCTGTGACCTTTGAGCCTGGTGGGGCTGGGTGACATTTCACAGGGGAGAGGCAGCCCGAGGAACAGGAGCAGCTACAGTGCTGTGCCAGCATGGGCAGAGCAGCATTGCAAGAATGGCTTGAAGTAATGAGATTGCCCAAGCTGTTTACTTTCCCTGTACTTGATTTGCAAACCTCTAGCCTGTGGGGCTGGGATGGATTTTGCCGAGGGCTCTGCAAGGCAGAGGAGCTGGGGCAGGACTCCAGGGGCCGGGGCAGGATGGGGTAGAGACGAGGCATGCTGCTGCAGGGGAGGACAGCAGGAGATGCTGCCAGGGGAGATTGCCCTTCCCAACCCTGTCTGACTTCTCCCCTGGACTCAGTGGAACATTGGAGCCCACATGCAGCCTTCCCTCTTGTAGCCCACAGGCCCCAGCATCAAACATCCCCAAAACCACAAGGACACGACACCGCTGTACAAAAAACCCTCTTTCAATGAACTGAAAGAACAACCGCGTCTCGCCGGGGTCGGTGGAGGTGCCAGGACACCTCTGGAAGCCCACTGTTGCCTTTGCTCTAGGAACGCCCTCATCCTGAAGATGGGAAGCTGGTGCCACCTCCACCAGGCTCACTGGTAGTAGTTGCTGAAGGCATGAAGGATATACAGGAAGGTCGTGATGAAGGCGAAGAACTGCAGGAGAGGAGGAGCAAAAGCTGGAGTCAGCAGAGTCCCCACAGGGTTACAACTCCGCTGTCTCACAGTGTTCTCTGTCTGGGGAAACCACTCGGCCAAGAGCTCCCTCCAGCCTCACAGAAGAAGCAAAGCCCCCACATTGCTCAGGATGTCCCTGAGCTGCTGAGCCCCAAGAACCCCCTTATGCTGGCTGCACAGTGTGATGGACAAAAGCAGCTGAGGCTGCTGAGTGATACAGGCTTGGGTTGGAGTGTCCCTGCCTTGGAAGTCATATTTGCTTCTGCTCTCCCTGGGAGAAGCTGCTGGTGTGCTTCTGGACTGACTCACCGATGCCGCACAGTTGAGCTGGTAGTAGCGTGGTGAGCTGAAGCTGAACTCAGAGTTGATTGTCGCATTGGCTTGCAAGACAGCAGCGCTCATGTACAGAATGGCTGTGGCACCGTGGTACAAACTATCCTGCAAAACAACGGAGTGCCGTGGATCAAAAATTGCTCTGCCTTCCTTTCTGCCATTCACCCTTGGGGCAAGGAGCTACTGTCCAGCCTCTGTGCATGAGCGTACAGATAGGACATGCACCCAGATGGGGGCTGGAACCAAGCACTGCCTGGCTGCTTCACAGCGTGCTCAGCCCTCCTGCGTCCACCCAAGGGAACCCATCTCCAGCTGGAAAAGAACAGAGCCCTGCCACAAGCTGTGCTGGGGATGGAGATGGGAACAGCTTCTGTCACATCCTGAGCTTTTCTCCTTTGTTCTGTGCTCCAAATGGGGCTGAATGTGATGAAGTGCCACGCAGTGGAATAGCAGAACCTCCCCCAGGCATTTCCAGGAAATGCTTCGCTGTCTCCCCAGTGAGGAAAGGGACACTTATTTGCAGACAGGCTGGCCAACACATCTTCAACTGCTGCTACCACCCACCTCTGCCCATTTCTGAGCCCCCATCCTTACCAGCACTTTCCAGTTGTTGCTGTTTTTGTGAAAGCCGAAGAGGTAACTTATGAGGAGCAACAGGGAGATGAGGAAGGATGTGAGGGACACGTACATAACCCATCCCTGCAGCAGTGGGAAGGAGACTGAGGTAGCAGCAACGAGGATCCAAACCCAGGCCCCGCAGATCTGTTGGCGACAAACACAGGCACTTCTAGTGAGCTTAGGATGGAGAAATCCCTTTCTTCTCCCTGCATCCTTGCATACCTCCTTCTCAGATCAGCCTTCACCTTTGGGCAGTGCAGCTCAGCCTCCATGCAGGGCATCCTTGGACCAGCAGCAGCATCGCAAGCTGGCACAAGTTGCTGTGAATGCTCTTGGGAAATACCTCCCAATGTTCCTTACAAAAAGGAAGTCATGGCTGCTTTGTTCGACAGAAGGAAAAGCCTCACCCTGAGGGCTTCGGCAAGAAGCCAGAAGCACACTTTTATCTCGGAAACGTGAACCACTGATGTCGGCCCAGCCCTGCCTGCACATTAATCTCCTGGGCCTGAAATCACAGCACAAGGAAGTCGTCTCCTGACTTCACACAGCAGCCCAGAATGAGTCGCTTGCTCCATTTCCACCTCAAGTAATTACTGAGCAGAATATAGCACATAGGGCGGCTTCGATAAGCTCTCGCCAGCTGTGTTGGACAGCCTCCTTGGTTTACGCTGACAGCACCTACGAGGTGTGGGTGGTGTGTGCTGCTGGTACCACATCATGGCAATGAGCTGCTGGGCCCTGTGTCAAAGTTCAGCTGCAGCTACTGCAGCCTGTCAGGCTGGATGCCCTCTGGACTCAGTCACAATGTGAAAATGCATGCAATTTTATGCAGTACAAGAAGCCCACTTGCCTATAGCCCTTGAGACCTCACGAAGACTTAATCCAAAGAACAAAATGCCTTTAATTATAAGCTATTCTCAATTTCTGTTTGCTAAGTAGAGCTGCTGCTGCTCCCCAGGCACACAACACTCTTCAGCCTCTCTTAGCTAGCTGGCAGCCCCCTGTGCAGGCTCTGTGCTGGTGCTGCAGCTCAGCTGGTCCTCATGGTGCGCCGAGAACAATTTAGCCAATAAAATTACCTCTATGTGTTCAGAATAAACCAAAAGAAAAGAAGATACTTTTCATTCAGGCTACTTGCAGTATGCTTCAAGGGCTACTCCAAATTGTTAACCCCAGCGTTCCCTAGAGTCGCTACCCAGGTGGCAGAGCTCAGCAAAGCTGAGGGTACTCACTATCTCCGGCAGGATGAAGGCGTAGGGAATGGTTTTAAAGACGACCAGTCCGGAGGGCAGGGTGGACTGCAAGGTGGCTGCAGTGGGAGATGCCGATGCCATCGCTCCCCAGCTGACGCCGTGGCCGCTCGGGCTCCGCTAGGCTCGCGTGTGTCAGTGCTGCACCACTCCCTGCGGGCTTTTAGCTGACACACCCGCGGGGACGTAATCGCAGAGACCAGCCCAGACTGGCACCACGCCGCTTCCTCCAGTCTAAGGAGTCCTCACTAACCCTCCACTTAGCTCCTAATACACCCCGATGTCGACACGGGGATGGGATGGGCTCCCGCACCTGCCAGCACTGCCACTGGCAGCAGCACACGGTCAATGGAACGAGGAACGACAAAGAATCCACGCCATACTAGCACAGAAATGTTTGCTACAGTCCGATTTTGTCCTTGGCACTCACTCAAGTGTGAAGTATTTTTGTTTCCACTTTCTTTGCCTCCTCCCCTTTCTGCTCAGGTTTCTGCTCGTTGTTCACAAGAATCCCCCACACCCAATGGACGTATCCAGCCCTTGAATGCTTACAGCCTGCCACGGCCTTGACAAACATTTTCTACAGGTGAAAGATGGGAGAGTTTGTTTGTTCAGAACTTCCACTAAAAGACAGCTTTGATTTCCAGCTCCTTGTAGCTGTGCTTTGGATTCAGTGAAGGCACTATTTGTTCTGCCTCACCCGCTCAAGAAGTGTAGGAAATAACCAAAGGAATAAAAACCTGAAGGTGGTACCTCTGGCCTATGTCACAGAGTAGACAGAAAGAGTCCACCACCTTGGACAATCCTCTGCAGCAAGAGGAGGATGATATCCTACTGCTATATCATATGTATCTAATAGAAGGGCCAAATTTAGCCCTCGGAATTTGGCTTCCAGGCTCCTGAGCAATGCAGAATAGAATCAGATCCATGATGAGGAACATCATTTGAACCTGTCCTAGGCCAGGGGAATGTGCTTTGTAGGACTTCCAAAGGCTCCAGTTTACAAATGCTGACAGTGAGGACTGGCCCTGGGCTCTACAGTGCTGCGATCATTGCAAGACCTTATTTTAAAATATTTCAGATCAGTTTGGATGTAAATTCATGTGTGACTTGGTAAATGCTCACTGTGGCAATGCGCCCATCACCATGGACAAAGCGTGCAGACATCCGGATACTCCAGCACAAAAGAGAGAACAGATGAGTAACTTCCTACCAGGACAGCACACAGGACCTGTGGTTACACAGTGCTCAGGGAAAAGCAGCCCTTAACGTCCTGGTCCATATGAGAAATACCCCGCAACTCATCAGCCTGCACTCAGAAGCCAGCACAAAGTGAGCTAACCCACGGTGTAGCCGTGCAGAGGGGAATGGCAGCGTTCCCTGAATTCTCACCACCATGGATTTGTGCTGGGTGGGGCCAGGCACACATTCCTGTGAATAACTCAACCTTTTCCTGAGTGAGAACAGAAAACAGTAAAACAGTAAAACAGTCTAAATAAGGAGCAATCTGCTGATTGGACAAGAGATTACTTTTTTTCCTGACCTTGTTCCACAGCATTCTTAAAGATGGTGGCTGTTTTCCTTGCCTGCTACCAGTCCACTTGGGTGCTGAAACAGTCTGTTGTTCACCCTGGTCAAAACAAAATTGGAATTTAACTGAAAGCTGTGTGAGGGAAGTGCTGCCACGGCATTTGCTCTGCTTCAGCACGGAACAACTGTGGCTACAAGAGATTCATGTAGCAACAGACTGCCGTAGCTTTGGCTGACACTGCAGAGAGGAAAAGGTAACATAATTTATTTTAGTTGAACCAATGAAACAATGCCTGTCTGCCTCAAAAATGTTATTTTTAATGTGTGAAAATGTTTCTTGCAATACAGATAGTACACATAATTTCTCTTTGGTAAAAGTTCATCTGTACTGTTACCCTCCAATCCATTCATACTGTGGGATTGTTTTTCCTCGTTTCTCCTAAGAAATCGTAGGCCAGCTCAGAGATGTCAAAGGCTGTGTGAGTGTTTTCTGAGGACAGCAGAGACTGAAGGGCACCACCGTTCTCTCGGCTCTTTCTCAGAAAGTCAGCAATCACTCTCCAGCGAGATGCTTCGGACTCCTCATCTGCCCACTTGTAGCTGGGGAGCAAAGTGGACCTGAGGAGAGGGAAGGCTGAGTCGTGGTACACCAGGATGAACACAGACTTCAGGAATTCTCGATCTCTCTGCAAAGAAGAAAAGCATTTGGCATCATTTCCATGCAAAAATATGCAGTGCTGTCAAGCAGTCCTACGTAAGAAAAACAAAACAAAAACATTCAATCAGCCCCCAGTACCTGGGAGGCCAGACCTTCTTCAACATCAGCCTTGGATGAGCCTCAAACCCAGCACAGAACTATACTGTGTAAGCTGCGGATCAGCTCTCCAACTGCTGGAGCCAACACAGTGCAGTGGTACACAGCCAAACCCACAGATGCTGCCACCTCTGCTGAGGAGGAACCTTGGGATGCTGATCTGGCCAGTCCCCGTGGTTTTCACAGCCAGGGGGTTCTATGGAGAAACAGACTGTGCTTCCCAACGAGCCATTCAAAGGCATCGTAAGCTTTACAGTGCATTAAAATCCCTGTCCACATCCCCACACCTGATTTTCAGATAGAATCTTACTGCACTCCGCCTGAGGAAGCATTACTGCATAGTTTGATACTAAAATTCATCACTTAAAGAGAAATTTCAACCTTCTGCAACCCTCTTCTCCCTCCACCCTGGTGAGCTGCCTATGTTGAAGCAGCCTGAACTATCAAGCTTTCTTTTGGTCCTGCCTTCAACTTTGGATAGTCCCTTGTAAAGCATGCTTAATTTAGGTTGGGCAAACAGAGGAAACAACACACTGGAAAGTCTAATCATTTTCTTCCTTTTTAATACTTATTATCTTAGTATTAACTCATCTAGTCTTAATGACTTCATCTTAATTAACTCATCTAGTCTTAATGGCCTTCATCTCTCCCTGCCTATGTCTGTAGTCACACACATTAGAAATGAAAGTCAATTTGCTGGGGGCAGTGGAAACCCTGAGACCTCTGACAGACATGTCAACACCTTCCTGATTTCGGAATTATTTTGGTTCAAGCTCTTGCAAAACTAGAAAAGATCTTTGCACTTTTTCATTGCTTTGCATGAAGTCTTGTACTGCCAACGCTCACCACAGAAAGTTATCTCATGGGGTATTTATATTTCTTCCTAAAAACACCAATGTATGAAGAGAAGACTCTTCTCCAGAGCCCTGCATGCAGAAATTGAGTGTGTTTGCTCTTGTCCCTGGGGGAGACACACATCCTCTCTGCCTTGCAGGCCCAAATCCCACCTGTCCTTCCAATGCTCTTGGCAGAGAGATGCAACAATCCCTTGTTCCTCGCACCACAAGACTCTGAGCAGGAGGTAGGGCCATTCTCTATGTAGTTATTTCACATTCTGACAGGGCACTCCATGTAGAGACAATTATACCCTGCCATGTTTGCAAAACCTAGAAACTAAGAATCAGCCTGGTCAATTCATCAAGCACTGATCGCTTCAAACAGACAAAATTTGGGTGCCTCCTTTTCCAAACACGGGAACACAGCCTTCTATGCAAGAAATACAGAATCACAGAATGGCCAGGGTTGGAAGGGACCTCAAGGATCATGAATCTCCAACCTCCCCATTTCATAGCAGCCCAGGCTGCCCAGGGCCCCATCCAACCTGGCCTTGAACACCTCCAGGGATGGACGGGGCATCACAGCCTCTCTGGGCAGCTGTTCCAGCACCTCACTGCTCTCATAGTAAAGAACTTCCCCCTGACATCCAACCTCAATCTTCCCTCCCTCAACTTCAAACCATTTCCCCTTGTCCTGCTGTTATCTACCCTTTCAAAGAGTTGACTCCCCTCCTGTTTGTAGGCTCCCTTTAGGTACTGAAGGCTGCAATGAGGTCACCCTGCAGCCTTCTTTTCTCCAGGCTGAACAAGCCCAGCTCCCTCAGCCTGCCTTCATAGGGGAGGTGCTCCAGCCCCCTGAACATCTTCTTGGCCCTCCTCTGGACCCTCTCCAACATCTCTGTCTTTCTTGTACTGGGGGCTCCATACCTGGATGCAGTACTGCAGGTGGGGCCTCACAAGAGCAGAGAGGTTCAGTCACCTCCCTGTCCCTGCTGGCCACCCCTCTTCTGATGGAGCCCAGGAAACGAGTTGCTTTCCAAGTTGCAAGGGCACACTGCTGGCTCAGAAAACTGCCTCCTCGAAAACTCACCTGCCATTGAACCTCTGCTAGGATCATGAACAATACGACTGGCATTGGAACCTCTCTGCTACCCCTGGGAAGCTGAACAGTTCATGTCTCAGCAGAAGATTAGCAGCTGAATGTCATAAAAGCACGCAAGAAGGAGCAAGACCTAGCTGTCGTGCCAGGCAGCAATCCTGCCATAGGAGTGGCACATGACAAATCAGGTAAAACTGGATGGTTCTGGGATTCTGAGGAGTTACTATTCTCTGAGCAGATCAGCTTACATTTTGGATGAATGGCCTTGAAAAAGCTGTTCTGTTTCAACACAGGGAGATTGCAGAACTTGGGGCCTTCCTCCAGGTAGACTGGAGCAGGACTAGAGCTGGGAGGCTGGAAAAGGAGATTGTTTTGTACCCTTTTACACCAGTGGAAAGTTTTTACCAGGCAAACGTTACAAGCACATCATGAAAGAGAGGCACATTTTGAGCACAAACCTATGACATCTTCCACATTAACAATTATATTTACAAACACCAAGACAAAAAGTTACAAATTAATTTCGTAGTCCTCCCAGTTTTTGCATTTTCTAAATAAATCTATGGCGAGAGGAACAGTTAATTCTGGCAGCAATGCTGAAAGAAAGCTTCTAGTTTGTATTAGATTTGGTGTATGTCAAGGAAAAAACTGGCACTTGGTAACGTACTACCTTTTCTGATCTCTTCAAAGTTCTTTCTCTGTCCGCCCAAGCACTCTGGAATGAGATGTAAAATACACAATGGGAAATCAGATCCAGACTGGGGAAATCTGGCAAAGTTCCACTTTTACCTGCAGAAATCCCTCTTTTACTGCAGCCCCATGGTGGCTTAAGCCCTTGTTGCAGCCCTTCTTTCCTCACATTCTAATCAT